TCACCACAATTTGATTCCTAGGTCAATGTTAAATTTAAATCTCATGAAAAAATTAAAATAAATTAAACATTTCTCAAGCTAGAGTGAGTGCGTTCTTTTTGTGTATCTTGTAGATAGAAAAGAAGTCTCTATCCTTGGGTCATTTCTAATTTACTTAGGAATACAAAAATAGGTGTTCGGACAACTTGTGACCATGCTCTCTCACTTTCACCAGATATTTCCCAGGGTGTTTCTACCTCCATTCCATTTCTCCTGTATCCTTTCTCTTCAGCTTGCAGAATCATGTACTCAGAGAAACTCAACTCAGATGTAATCTGTTCCATGAAACATTCTTTTACCCCCCCTAGTCAAAGTTATCTACCTCACCTTTATAACCTCATAGTTCATATATAGTCCATTTTAATACCTAGTACATAATAATTTTGTACTAAAATTAATTGAAAATGTAGAGGATAATTCTAGTAGAGAATATTTCTATTAGATTGTGGTGCTTACTGCTGTGTCTTACTCATTTTCATGCCTCAAGATGTGTCTTCACTAAACACATTTGTGCTTTGATTGAATTGCAACCAAATATTTTGTTACAAGCTAAAAAAGGGACAGAGTTTAATCTGTAAATCATGTGTCCCCTCCAAGTAAAAGCCAAATGACATCAAGTCACAAAGATTTCACTCATGTAAATTTTTGGGGGGCTTAAAAAATACATTTATTTCTCGCGGTTCTTTTTTTAAAGTATATTTTATTGACTATGCTATTACACTTGTCCCATTCTTTTCTCCCCTTTATCCTCCCTGCCCTGCACCCTCTTCCTTCCAGCATTCCCTCGCACCCCCCACCCCCGCTTAGTTCATGTCCATGGGTTGTACATAGAAGGTTTTTGGCTTCTCCATTTCCTATACTATTTTTAATCTCCCCCTGTCTATTTCATGCCTACCATTTATGCTTCTTATTCCCTGTACCTTTTTTGCCCATCCTCCCCTTCCCCCTCCCCACTGATAACCCTCCATGGGATCTTCATTGCTGTGATTCTGTTTCTGTTCTAGTTTGCCTAGTTTTTGTTTTTGGTTTTGTTTTTTAGGTTCAGCAGTTGATAGTTATGAATTTGTTGTCATTTTACTGTTCATAGTTTTTGATCTTCATTTTCTTAGATAAGTCCCTTTAACATTTCCTATAATAATGACTTTGTGATGATGAACTCCTTTCACTTTACCTTATCTGAGAAGCACTTTCTCTGCCCTTCCATTCTGAAAGATAGCTTTGCTGGACAGAGTAATCTTGGATGTAGGTCCTTGCCTTTCATGACTTTCAATACTTCTTTCCAGCCCCTTCTTGTCTGTAAGGCTTCATTAGAGAAATCAGCTGATAGTCTTATGAGAATCCTTTGTAGGTAATTCTCCTTTTCTCTTGCTGCTTTTAAGATTCTCTCCTTATCTTTAATCTTGAGTAATTTAATTATGATGCATCTTGGTGTTTCTTCTGGGATCCAACTTCTTTGGGACTCTCTGAGCTTCCTGGCATTCCTGGAAGTCTGTTTCCCAGATTGAGGAAGTTTTCCTTCATTATTTGTTCAAATAAGTTTTCGATTTCTTGCTATTCCTCTTCTCCTTCTGGCACCCATATGATTCAGATGTTGGAATATTTACAGTTGTCCCAGAGGTTCCTAAGCCTCTCCTCATTTTTTAAAATTCTTTTTTCTTCATTCTGTTCCAGTTGCATGTTTATTTCTTCCTTCTGCTCCAAATCGTTGATTTGAGTCCTGGTTTCCTTCCCTTCCCTGCTGGTTCCTTGTATATTTTCCTTTATTTCACTTTGTATAGCCTTCATTTCTTCCTACATTTTGTGACCGAACTCAATCATTTCTTTGAGTATCCTGATTACCAGTGTTTTGAACTCTGCATCAGATGATCTCTGCATCTGCATGTCTGTGTCCTTGTTGCTTAGTTCTTTTTCTGGAGTTTTGATCTGTTCTGTTCTTTGGGCCATATTTCTTTGTCTCCGTGCACCTGTTATGTTGTAAGGGGCAGAGCCTTAGGTATTAGCCAGAATGGGGCAACCCACTTTACTGCCTTATGGCGCTATATGTGGGGGAAGGGTCAGAGAGGGAACAATGCTGCTTGCTCGGCTCTTGCCCCACTTTCAGTCACTTCCCTTGCTTCCCACAAGCAGATTGTACCCTTTCAGGTGCTGATTCCCAGGTGAGTTTGTGTATGTTCTAGGATCCTGTGGGCCTCTCCAATGGACTCTCCTATGTGAAACTGGGAGTTTCTCCTGCTACTGTGACACCCATAGGCTTTTACAGCCAGAGGTTTTTTTGTTCCTCCCAGCTTATCCATGCAAATGCATGACCTGTAAGGTCAGCCAGCCAGCACCTTGCCTGCATGATCCACCACCTTGCCCTGCATCCTCTTTGACCCGGCTGCCCATCTCTGTTCCTCCTACCAGTCTGGATGAATGTTTCTTTAACTCCTTGGTTGTCAGACTTCCATGCAGTTTGATTTTCTGGAAGTTTTGTTACCAAATAATGGACCCGTTGTAGGGGAAGCCCCAGATGCTATTACTAGAACAACACCTCACCTTCCCTGGGGTCCCTCAGTTGTAGGTACTTCGCACTCCACCCTTAAAAATTATGGCCGTCAATGGCAGAATTTGGTGAAAAGGAAAGGAGCTATTTATTCAAAAGTTATATAAGTTGAATAATGGCTAGATGGTACTGTTAAAATTTCAAAATCCCTTTAGAACACCCACCAACACACACAGTCCTGCCTTCCCCGCTTTGCCCAGTCAGGCCAGTCAAGGGTACTGTACTTCAGAAGAAAAAGAACAGAAGTCCGGGGCTCGGCTAGGCAGGCCTCTCGCGGTTCCCAGCACCATCAGCTGTGTCGCCGTGATCTCCAGTCCTTAATCCAAAATTGTGCGGCACCTTCTCATGGCCCACTAGCAAGAGCCCTTTCTCCCCTTTTCTTCCTACATGGTCGTCACATTGTTCCCCCGATTCTGTGTCCTGTTGTCTCTCTCGCAGGCCCTGTTTCCCCTTCCCAGTTAACATCCTACCTCCTAAACCATGCGATCAGAAAGCCTCTAGCAAGGCTGCCGCTCCTGGGTTTTAAACCCCTGCGCGAATCCTCCTCTACAACCCCATCTCCAACTCCTTCAGCAGGCTCCGTAAATGGATTGGGAGAGGCGGGTGAAGCAGCTCCCCAGTTCCCTCCTGGGTTAAAGTTGTGCAAACCTTCCTGGTTAGCTTTGTCGATATGCAAAATAACCATCTTTGCATGTGAGGTATGAGGCTATCTTCCTGTTACTGACATGCAAAATGACTTCTCAGTGGCCCTGCTCCTTCTCTCATCCCCCATGGGAGCCTGCCTGGTGGTGGGAGGTGAGAATATTCTGTATTTTTCTTGAACACCCCAATATCTGGTCCCCATTACAAATCCCCTTTGGGGAGGCCCTGGCGTGTCCTAGTTACAGTTCTGGTTGTTTTTTGTTTTTAAATTGGTGGTTATCCTTCTTTTGGTTGTGCTAGGAAGTAAAGTATTTCCACTTATGCCTCTATCTTGACCAGACTCAATTGTTTAAAATATGATAGGTGAATTAAGTTGTCACACAACACAGGTGGAATAGACATGCCAATAGAAAACACCTGCCACTTTACATTATATTTGCATAACTTAGTTTCAGCAAAAACTCTATCCACTTAGTTAATACTGATTTTAAAAGTTTTGAGTTTGTGATTATTATTTTATTTAATTTATGAATATGTTTTCATTTCATAATTGTATTAATATGCTGACACATGTAGACCTCTTTGTATTTGTACATAAACAGTATTATCTAATTTAAGTCAGTATCGGGAGTCTGCTATCCTTCCTTTGAAAAGGGTTTGTATATTACTCAAAAGCTAGGAAATGATGATACGGACTGCAGAATATTATGGAGAGGCAGAAGGAATCAATGTTAGAGTAGTAAGAAATGCCAGCTTGGATTAGGACAGCATCTTGATTATAGCATAGTAATGATTTTTAATTCATTATGACAACTAGCCAAAATAATCGAGAAGTTGTTTTGCCTAAACCTTGAAGCAATATGTGTAATTATTTATTGGTTGTTAATTAAATATGCTAATTTAAAAATAGATAAAAGTGATTTTTAACTTTTTCCTGAAAAACAATTTAGTACTTGTTTCTTTAGCCAATTTCTCCATGTGTGTTCATATGGGCTTGCTTTCCAGCATATCAGTTTATATCCTGTACAATTGTGTAAAATGTTTGCTATGCTCATATTAAGATCTTGTATGCAAATGGCGTGATACTTCAATGAGTTTTTGAACATAGACACTTCTATTAGGTCATTTATGCTTTTACTTATAATTTTTTTCTCTCATATTCTTATATATTCCCAGTACATCAGAATGTCATTTCACATGTTTATTATCACTTGGTTTACTTAAAAATAAGGTGTTGTCAAATAGAAATTTAAAACACTCATTTCCTTAGTTATTTCTAAGTCTTAAAGCTACTGCGATTGTCACTTTTTTCCCTGCACAATTGTTTCTTTAGATATTTCTAAAAATTCAGAAAAATCTCAATAAATATTTTATGATACTTTTAATCTTTAGAAGTTAATAAAAATTCAAAAAAAATATAGTTTATTTAGAATCCAATATGACTTTTAGATGTATTCTTATATTCAGCCAATAGATACATGACAACCATTTGGTTAATGAAAAAAAATTAAATGTAATTTGATCTTAATTTTATAAAAATGATTAGTATTTTCAAATTTATATTAGTAAACAAACCCCTGAAAATTGCAGTTGAATAATCAGAGTACTATAAGCATTATTTTATTCATATTCAATATTACTTTTAACTTACTATTCTTGTTGCAAAACATACCTTGTCTTTTAGAGAATATGATGGTATTATTTACATTAATTCATGTGGCTTGGTGAAAAAAATGCTACAACTCCTTTACTTAATGGGATTCTTCCCCTGTGGCAGTGCAAACGGCTGGAGCAGGAGCTTCATCGTTTGAAAGAGCAGAACCAGACTTCAGCAAACAACATGAGACATCTGACTGCTGAAAACAATCAAGAACGTGCTCTGAAGGTAAATCTCTGTTCCTTCTTGCAGGCAAATTAAGGTTGTAAGCCCTTGGTGCCAGCTTTCTGTGCTGCATATATCAGTTGTGTACATTTCAGCAGAAGTGAGCTGTGGTGTTTGCCAACAACCCCTTCTTTAAACACAGATACAGCACCCTTCTGCTGTGGTATTATTTTATCTCGTGTATGTGTACATGAAAACAACAAATTTCCTGAATTTTGAGTGGTGGTCTATTAATAACTTTTGGTACATGTTTATTCTGATTTTTACAATATATTGTTACCTTTTATAATTAATAAAAGTGGCCACGCTAAAAGGAAAAATTAAATCATGAATCTTTTCTTCCCATCAATATTTATTACACTATCTTTTAAATGACTTTTTATATTAGTAACCTAGTAACCTATAGAACTGACACTCCTTTAAAGGTATATGAATATATTTGGAGATTAAAACAGTGCTAAAAAATGTTACTTATTACCAAAAAATAAAAAAGGAAAGAAAATATATTCTACTAGAATTTGAAACAAGTGAAGTATACATTTCATGACAAGAAGTTCTGTTTCATTATAATATAGATTCAAGAATCATGAAAAAAGACATTATTTTCATTCTATTTATTATACATTTGTTCTTAAGATGCTTATGACTTTTACTCTCCTTTTTTTCTATGCTCCAGTCCTAGCATAGTGCCTGTGACAGAGTAGTGGTCCCTGCCCTCAAGGCGCTAACATTCTCATGAATGTGTTAAACATAAAAACAAAAACATATTCATGGGACACAGAAATCCATCCTTGTTTATATTGTGCAGTAAAAAAAAAAAAAAGGTATGCTGTTTTAATAATTGGGAGTATTGTGTAGTGCTTTTTTGTCTTGAATTCACTTTTTGCTGCAGGTTATAGAAGAATGTTATGGCATTAGCAGTGTAACTCACTAAGCCTGAATCACCTACCAAAATTGAGAAAATGTTGGCATTTTGACGTTGAAAATATTTTTAATTGTCCAAAAAGTATGAGATTTAATTGAAAGCAGATTTTTCTATAAAATATATTTATTTTCATTTTGAAACTCTCAGTTAGAGATGGGCTTTGTTATAATTAACACACTTTCTTTTAAATTTATAAATAGACCAGAGCAATAAATGGGAAATAAAAGACTTGTAGATTACTGTTACTATTACTTACCCCAAGTAATTTATTTTTGCATGAGTAAAATTCAGTATAATAATTATAAACATGTACTTGCAGATTGAAAGTGACATTGTTTTAAGGCAACATCCATTGTATGTTAATGTATTATCAGCCCTAGGGGACAGATTTCATAGTTCTATGTGATATAGATTTTTTCATTTAAAACAGATCCTAAAATTAAAATTTTAATTTGTCAACTTACATTTTTTATAAAATAGAGATGGGAGGAAGAATTAACTTTGTAAAATGCATCAATTTCATTTTTCTAAAGCCCCATGCTCATTTTAACTCTTTTAAAAATGTCTCTTTTGTATAACACAATTTTAGATATATTAGGCCATATTTCCTCATGTGAAACCTTAAATTTATCATGAAAATTAGGTCATTTATAATACACCAGCTTTATTCTAAATCACCTTTAAAATTTTTTCATATTTCATTCTTCAGTACTTTATTAGCTTTATTATTGCATTTTGTATCTTCAAGTCACCATATGTTAGGAATAATAAATTTATTACTACCCTATCTGATGAATTAATTGTTCATCTCCTTTCTGAGCAGTAATACTTATCTTTTACAATCCACTTACAAGTATATTTCTTTTGTTTTCTACCTGGTTTAATATTTAATATTCATTTAATTAGTATTTAGTAATATTTAGTAAATGAGCTTTAGGAAGACTTTTTAAGAAGAGTTATTTCCTCTAGGGCTTTCAATCTGCCAATATATTTCTAGTATTTTATCATAAATAGTGTTATTATTAATCTCACTAATAAAGGTAAACTTGAATAGAGGGAGAGCTAAAATTTAATATTTTATTTCATTTTGTTATATCGAAATTCCTAAAGGAAATGGTTCTAGAGGTATGTTAAAGAAAAGTCTAAGTTAATGGTCACACATTACATAGTACTTTCTAACTGATAATTATGGCAGTTACACAGTTATCTATACAAGGATATGCTTTTAACAATCTTATGCTATTTGAATAACAATGTGTTTATTTTAATAAACAGAAATTCTTCCTAATTTTTTTTTGTGGTACAGCATGAAATTGGATTTTTATTGATCATTTTTACATTATTTTTGAAGTAGTGTGGAATAATACTATTTTGCTAGCTATATTGCTAGCAGGACACTGTTTCACAAATAACAAGTAAAACATGGTGGTACATACAGGATGAGAGGTTGAGAGTCATGTGGGAAAAAAAGCTTATTTATTCCTTTAAAATAAAGTTTATTCACTTAAGAAATTGGTTTCCTGAAGAACACAGTTTTGGACATTTAATGTTTTTAAAATAAATTTAAATTAGACATAAATATGCAGACATCAGACTTAAGAAATTATATATATGTATATATATTTGCGTGTGTGTGTATATATATATGCCTTTCTTTCTTCATTTACTATTTTATTTACCTTTCTTATCACATATCTTTAACTTCCTACATTTGGACTTCTCTACTGTAATTCCATGGGATCCCATTCTTTCTGACCTGTGATGATTAAACTTGTGAAAGTTATCATTCCTTGTCCCATTCAATACCCTAGTCAATTTAACTAGAAAACATTTCTCTCTTTTCAGCTTCACCATCTGAAATACATTTCTGTAGTTCTCTATTGCTGTATCTTCATTATTTTTTTCTTTGCTCACTATTCTTTAGCTGGTTCTTCTTTTTCAATGTATAAGAAATGATCCCCTCTGGGTTATGTGATTAGTTCCTTATTTTTCCATCTTTAAAAAAAAGCTTTATTATTTAGAGGAGTTTCAGGTTCACAGCAAAATTAAGCACAGAGCGCGGAGTTCCCACATAGTCCTTTGCTCCCTGCATGCACATGCCCCCAGCATCCAGCAAGAACTTGGTACTTTTGTTACCATCCATGGACCCACATCAGTGTAACCCAAAGTCCATAGTTTACATTAGGGTTCACTCTTAGTGGTGTATATTCTATGGCTTTTAACAAATGTAAATGACATGTGTGTGCCATTGTAATATCATGCAGAAGAGTCACTTCAAAAATCCTCTTTTCTCTACCTGTTTATTCCTCCCACCCCAAAGACATGCCAACCATTATTCTTTTGATCATCTCCATAGTTTTGCCTTTTCCAAAATATCATGGAATTTGAATTAATAACAGTGCGAAGCCTTTTCAGATTGGCTTCTTTCACTTAGAAATATGCATTTAAATTTTCTGATAGCTTCATAGGTCATTTCCTTTTAGTGTTGAATAATATTCCATTTTCAGGATGTACCACAGTTTATTTATTCACTTCCCTACTAAAGGAAATCTTGGTTGTTTCCGGATTTTGACAATTGTTAATAAAGCTGCTATAAATATCCATGTGCAGGTTTTTGTGTGGACATAATTTTTTCAGTTCATTTGGGTGAATGCCAAGGACTGCAACTGCTGGGTTGTATGTAATATGTTTACTTTTGTAAGAAATTACCAAACTGTCTTCTAAAGTGGCTGTACCATTTTTTACTCCCATGAATGATGAATGAGTTTCTCTTGCTCCACATCCTTGCCAGCATTTGGTGGGGGTTTTTTTTTATTGTAAACTTGTCTTTTCTAAGTTCATCCATTCCTTTACCACCTATCATTTATGTCCTAATGACTGCCTTTTATGCCTTCCACTTGGATATCTTAATGTCACCTTAAATTTAACTTTAAAACTAAATTTCTAATATGAGTACCTAAGCCTTCTCATCTCCTTAGAAAGAAGTCAGGACGTGAGTCAAACACTATTGACTATATAATTTAAGATTTATTCCCAATCATGTTTTTCTTTGTTTGCCTTTACTAGAAGCTGTTGAAGTTAAACAATTTCTCAACCTTTCTTTTTGCCAATGAGGCAAGCCATAAGAGGAATTCTATAGTAGGGGTGGGAGAAGTTGGAGTCTCTGAAAAAGTTTTTGTTTTCCTGACAGATGCATCAGGCAGCGTTCTTTTCTTCCTTTTCCCTGGAACACTTAACTCGCAGGAGCCAATGTATAGCCATGAAGAGAAGTTGGCCTTTAACATCATTGAGCCCCTTAGCCAGTGAATCACTTTAAGAACATTAAGCACTTATACCCTGATTTCTTTTTCTGGTGACAGAAATAGTACCCTATATTTTAAATCACTCTTAATAGTTTTCTTATATACTTCCAAATTGATCAATTAAGCATCTATTAATTAATGGTACTACTATATTCCTAGACATAAGCTAATACAGTTAACATAACCTTCATATCCTATCAAGCTCTCACCCATCACAAATATTGGTACCCTCCTAACTTAACTTTTTTGTCCCCAGTTTCTCACCTTTTTAATCAGTTGTCACACTTCCATTAACTATCATTATAAATACAGGTAACACTTTTCTACTGAAAAACCTTCAGTAAGTCTTATATTTTCAGCAGTGTAAGAAAATAGAGATATCTTAAATGACCCTCCTGATAAAAACAGTGAAAAAGGATGGTTAAAATTTATATTTTAAAAACATTTCATGTTTTTAGTATATTTTATTGATTTTACTCTCACAGTTGTCTCAATTTTCCCTCTTTGCCACCCTCTGCCTGGTACCCCCCTTCGATCTAGTGTTCCCCTGCCTTCGTTCATGTCCATGTGTCATGCATATAAGTTCTTTGGCTTCTCTGTTTCCTATACTATTCTTAACGTCCCCCTGTCTATTTTGTACCCACCAAATATGCTTCTTAATTCCTATACCTTTTACACCAGTCTCTCCCTTCCTCCTCCCTGCTGATAACCCTCCAAATGATCTCCATAGCTATGATTCTGTTCCTGTTTGCTTAGGTTTTTTGTTTTTGCTTTTT